AAGATCTTTTATTTCAAACTCTCAATGGAATTGCATATAGGTATATTTTAATGGCTAGTGGATGAAAACATGACTTGCAAAAGAAATTGTTAAGGGGAGGTACAGCCTTTTAAGTATGAAAACAGGACCATTCTGTAGTATTGGATAAGTTTTCGAACATTTTTCTTTTATCAATTAAACATAAAGAGTCAAATATCAAAATTGACAAAATTGCAAGTTTTTGTGAATGCCGTGATTATCCGTTTTTGTGATATGTGGTGACCCGGGCAATAAAGAGTAAACAATTAGAATTAAAAAATTAGAAGTAAAAAATAACAAAAATACTGAAGAGTAACTTGTAAAATGAGGTTTCTGAAGGCAATTTATGTTTTACAGTAATTAAACGTGTGCTTGTCGAAAATACACATAGGGATCGTTTTATCTGGTTTTATTAAGAGATATGAAATTCCATGAAAATGGAGGGGGTAGTTTGAGACTGGTGGTTTGTTATAGAAAATTATGATGGAATTTCATATTCCATTCGTGTAGTAAGGCCTGGCATTTTAATATGGTACTTAAATGATGAGATGTAAAGTCGGCTTTTTGTCATGTGTTCTTGGATATTGCATCTAAGTTGATAAGTTAGCTAGACGAAGAGAATTCATTGTTGTTAAGTTATGAGATTTGAACCTTCTTGTCATGTGTTCTTGGATATTGCATCTAAGTTGATAAGTTAGCTAGAAGAAGAGTTCAATGTTGTTTTAAATCGAGGTTGTGTGGTTGTTACTTATTCTTGGATATCGCATCTAAGTTGAATCATAGGTAACAAATGATCCACATGTAAAGCAGTGGGGTAGAATAACTGGTATTTATCCTTGGATATCGCATCTTAGTTGAATCATAGGTATCAGTTAGCCCACGTGCACTAACACTCAGTAACATTAGTTGGACTCATACGGTATTAGACAGAATTGGTGCAGTTTTGTTTTTAAATTTGGGTTAGGCCAACCAGGGTTTGAGAATAATTTTGCTATGACTTAAAGAGGAATCAAATGGCTAATAATTTTAAATATTACTTACAGTGAGCAAGTTGTATCTTTTGAGGATGCGAAAAGCATAAAAGTATATCGCATGTTTTTCTGTTTGTGTATTGTGGAAATTGCATCATAAGATTATGATGATTTTAGTCTATCAAGAAACATATTCCTGCTGGACGGGATAATGTTATCTTTGGGATATCTTGTCTTTAAGTTTCTGATTTTGCATTTTATTGTTTTATTCCACACTATTTGTTATGAGATTTTGCCATGTACATGCTCGAAATAAATGGTTATTTCCCGAGCGGCAACTGGATAATGTTATGATGACGATCATAAATTGTCAAATTTAGGGTTCAATAGAGAATTGAATTGAAGCCCAGGCAAGTGGTTTTCTCAGTTTTGTAAGAAAGTACAAACTGTGGATCCTACAACGAGATTTTGTTATGACAGCCATCAATCATCAGGTTTAGTGAAATGAATACATGAGAGATTAGTCATTTATATTTGAATATAGCAATTTGTTTGTATTTGTGCAATACATAGCGCTAAGTATGAAAATATAGAATTCTTTGGAAAATCAAAAGTAAAATGCTATTGTGCACTGAGGTGTTACTGATTTACTTTCGGAAACAAAGTCCTAGCAAGAGGGGGCGACCTGATGAAAAGGTTTTAGTAATCTTGGCAGAGTCTGAAACCCATGTTGCATTATTGATGTTAATGTTAAATCGCTAGATATGTATAATTGTGTTATTACTTTTTGGAATTTGTCCTGCCTATTATGGAAAACATGTTAAGCCATATTTATATTCTTTCTTACTGTTCGTAAGCAATTTGCATCTTTTATTTTAAAAGACTAACCACTCAGTGCATTTTAAAGATAAAGACAAGTTTCACAAGTAACAATCAGAGATCATTTTGAAGAATAGAGAGAAAATGTAAATAATTTCATGAAGAGTTGAAGTTGAAGAGTTGCTAGAAGAGTTGAAGAGTTGAAAAACGCTCAGTCATGAAAGACAAGTCAAGTGAAAAGTTTGTATGTTGAAGAGATAGAAAGACTAGTTACTTGTCAATGAAGAGAAATTGATGTCTTGAAGAAAATTAAATTCATGAAGAGTTTAGAACACGAAGAAGACTTGTTTATGTCACATAGAAAAGCAAGTTAAAGACATGTTAATAAAAAATGTTTCTTAAAGACACTTTTGGAGAACTTTTTGAGAATTAAAAATTAATTTCCCGGGATCCCAGTAAGCGATTTCCTATGACGACCTGAAGTAGATGACAACTACCTAACCGTGAAGAAGCGATGAAGATGACCTGTGAAGGCGATGCCTATGTCTTATGGAGATGCAGACGACGCGGATTTCGGATGGAGTGGAGCCACAGAGGACTTCGACAACTGATGAAGGAGCTGAAGATGTACGATCTCCTGTTATTATGAACAATTCTTTTCTCCAACGAAAACGTTTATTATGAACACTGCTACAAGGAAATGGATATTTTATTATGGATTCTTCAGCGAGGATACGGACATATTCGATAATGGACACGATGCGGGTGCATGTGATATACGGATTATGGATATTATTTCGACTACTAAGACGGTGCATATTTTGGATTCGAAAACATTACATCGTGGACTAGATGCACGTATTACAGCATCGCATTGGATCCAGGACTAGATACGCGGATTAAAAAATCGGAACTTATTATGGTTTATTATAACGACGTTTATCAACAGGAACTACGTATGAAGCAAGGATATTTGCACGAACTCTGCGTGGATATTTCATATGGATATTGGATAAGGATATGGATTATACACGAACTATGTATGCGGCACTGTGTTAGTAAACATTCATATAGGACATTGTTAAAATATCATATACATTTATTTAGATTTTGCATATTTTCAGTTTTTTAGTACGTACAATGTCAGGAGAATTGTCATTTTATTTGGGTGGGGGTTGTATAGCATTTTTCATGTTGATTCACCGTATTGTGCTGCCATCTTTCAATGGGTTTCTTATAGGTTTTGTAGGGTAAGGGATTGCCTTTCATTTCCTATAACTTGGGGGTATTTAAGAGAAATTTTGGGCTTCATTCAGTAGAGAGTTAGATCGGGGGGAACATCACACATCATTTAATTTCATCTTATTAATCTCATTTTCATTCTTTCTTTATCTTTGAACAGTTTTATTTTACACTGAAGAGTGTAATTGTACATGTTTAGTCTTTTACTTGGAATAAAGTATAGTTTTATGAATATATTAATTCTGTGTTAATCTTGTCTCTTTTACATTACAAGACCAATCCATATTATTTTATGAAGAACCCACAGAGCTATTTAAACAACAAAGCTCGAAGCTTCAGTACCATAAGGTAATGAATGAATTTATTGTTTAAGTAACAGGTTTTTTATCGATATTTACACATATAAATAAGAAATGATTTGTACCCTAAACACTTTTGTTTAAAAGATTTTGAATTTTATGATACCACCAGAGGGTTAAAAAAAATTCACATATATTCTTCTTCATATGGACCACTTTAGTTCAGAGTGTTTGTGGCACGTCGATATGTTCGTAGTTTAAGTTAAAAGTTTTTTAAATCATGTTATTGTATAGATGTCACTGATTGAATGAGATAAATACAAGTAGATTGCCAATTTTAGATAATAGGCAAAACATCTTTCTATTTGATCGTTGTTTGTTTGTGATGATATTTGTCTCATGGTTTAGATAAACAATTTGAAAGGCAAGTGTCATGATTAAGAACGACATTAAGGAAGTGGGCTCGTTACAAAGTTCAATAAATGCTTTCATAGATAGGGGGCAAGATTTTGATTTTCGGACATCTCTTTTTTTAAATCCAAAATAGAATTACTTAGGCCGCGATTATGATTTTTTGATGATAACTAATTTTATTTTAATGTCAATAGTACCATAAGGTAATGAATGAATTTATTGTTTAAGTAACAGGTTTTTATCGATATTTACACATATAAATAAGAAATGATTTGTACCCTAAACACTTTTGTTTAAAAGATTTTGAATTTTATGATACCACCAGAGGGTTAAAAAAAATTCACATATATTCTTCTTCATATGGACCACTTTAGTTCAGAGTGTTTGTGGCACGTCGATATGTTCGTAGTTTAAGTTAAAAGTTTTTTAAATCATGTTATTGTATAGATGTCACTGATTGAATGAGATAAATACAAGTAGATTGCCAATTTTAGATAATAGGCAAAACATCTTTCTATTTGATCGTTGTTTGTTTGTGATGATATTTGTCTCATGGTTTAGATAAACAATTTGAAAGGCAAGTGTCATGATTAAGAACGACATTAAGGAAGTGGGCTCGTTACAAAGTTCAATAAATGCTTTCATAGATAGGGGGCAAGATTTTGATTTTCGGACATCTCTTTTTTTAAATCCAAAATAGAATTACTTCTATTTTAAAGAATTCGGGATCTCCTGAAAAACTTAGCCTATGACTAAAATGATTACTTCTCAAATCATTGAGACTTCTGTACTTGAAACTTGTAGCTTGAAACCATTTCTGCCCGTTGAATAGTTTTGCTTCCGTTTTGACCCCAGATCGTCTTTAAAATAATAATTTTTTTTATCAGAAATAATCATCTACATAAAATTCCATATGCTCTTCAATTAATTCAATTCCTTTCCGATAAAACAAACAAATAGCATTGTAACTTTTTGTACGAGGCCTGCCCGATTAAAAAACATCACTATGGCCAACATTGTTTAGGCTAGATGCTACGCCGAAATGATACAAACAAACAAACATACAAAATGCTACCCAGGACATCTGACCACTTTAACTTGATTAAATCTAGGCTACTCATAGTTTCTTGCATCCAAGATAAATAATGCATGTATTATTATGAAAGATAAGCACATCTGAAATACGGAGTATTTGGCGACGTTTAGAATGATCGATCCCTCAAAGAATATGTGGCGTGTCACCTTGAAATGTAAACACACTTTATTTGAGCAACAGATTTAGATAACATTCTTATTTTACATAATCAAAAGTTTATAACCGTCAGTTGTGAAAGTAGGAACCTCATTTAGGCGTGGAATATTTGAAATAACGATGACACAAAGAAAAGTAGCTGTGGTAAGTTGACTATATTCTTGTACTATGAAACTCGCCAGTCAAACTGATTTTTTCTTCTGAGTGAAGGGACTGAAACATACAGTCTCTTTTCAAAGGCAAGCAGTTGAACCTGAAAAATAAGAAATCTATACACCATTGTGCCATAATATATAGAAAAATATATTTATATATCACACAAATGACATTTGTATATTTCAGATTATTTAGTGCATGGACCTATATCCTCAGGATATAGGTCCATGTTTAGTGTTTAGTGCAATAAGCCTGTGCCCCTTGTAATTTGAGGTCTGTCCGCCATGTTATTTTTTTGAGAATAAACATGGTAGAGCATCAAATTATAAGAGGTTACAGACTTTATGAGTCAATTTACAAGCAAACCAACATATACAAATGTCATTCGTGTGCAATATGAATATATTTTTCTATATATTAGTCTATTGCATAGGCCAAAGGAAAAGTAGTAGTAAACTTATATAGATTACTCACTTCGAGAGCCATGTTAGATTTTGAAACTTATGGCTCTCAAACGGAGAAGTGAACAGCTGATCAATAGTGACCTTTGAAATTGAATTAAGTCGATCCGCGGCTTACTTTTGGTCTCTAACTGTGTCTTACATCAGTATCATCAATCCGTGTAAGTATTGGAGCGCTGGAGTACTTCTTTTTCGATCAAGACTTGTAAATTGTTCATCGAGTTAAAGTTTTACAGACCTATTTCCAATATGGCGGTTTGCTAGGTGCGAGATACGCAACGAACGAAATGAATTTTGAGAATTAGTTAGGTTCGGACAACCTCCGGAGATTTACGAAAATGTCCGAGCAGAAACCGCCATATTGGAATTTGGCAGTAAAACGATTCACTCGACTAACGAATTACAAGTCTTGATCGAAAAAGAAGTACTCCAGCGCTCCAATACTTACACGGATTGATGATACTGATGTAAGACACAGTTAGAGACCAAAAGTAAGCCGCGGATCGACTTAATTCGATTTAAAAGGTCACGATCATTGAGCTGTCCAAATGCTCCGTGGGAAAGCTATTATATCAAAATCCAAATAGCTTTCGCAGGAAGTAATATATAGAAACTTAGTTCAACAACATTAGACCTAGCCTGGGCCTCGTTTCTTATCTGACATGTCTTATGGCCCCTGCTAGATCTAACCTCCATGATCATTTTGCCTTTGATGCGTTAATATAATCGTTCCGCAGGTTTTGACAAGCGGAACTTATTAGACCCTCAAAACATGGTAATATTACATAAAGAATGTTGTGATTCAAGCATGCATACATACCATCCCGTATTAGTCCATGATAGGAAATCTCTAGGACGTCTAATAAAGGAGCTGGTAGCACACTATAGCACAGCCATATTTGACCTAACATTAACATACCTACATATGTTCCCTAATAATTTTTATTATAACCGTTTAATATACTTCCAGCTTTTAGGCTGAATCATTCCTGCCATTAACAGAGGTCAAAAAATTACCAATTTTTCACAATTTGGAGTATACAATGCAACAAAAAATAATACAAAATGATTTTAAATATTTGATTTAGGTTTCTAAGCTACAAGTTTGAGGTTATTTTTCTTATCAATACCAAAAAATTATGTACATGTAATCAGTGTATCAACGTTTTGTATTGTTTCTCAGGTATTAATAAGATAAATGCTACAAATGAATCACTTCTATATAAGAATGACAAATGCTTTAATTATGCTAGTTTTTCACAATGGGTCTCAATACATTTTGGGATATGGACTTTTATTCCGCGGTGAATATTATCAATAAAGGAGGGCCTATTGCTCTTCCTTGACTAATTGGGACTACAGCTAAAATTCTATTTTTCGGGAGTTAGATATAGCTCAGTCGCTTATAAAACAACCATCAAGATTTGGTCGAATTCATGCATAATTGAGAAAAATCGTTATCATTATCTTAATTTGATTGTATCCAGCGTTAAGGTCAAAGAAGAAACAACTATCCGAAAACTTGATGATAGCCAGCAATAACGTCAAGGAAGAATTGTAAGGCGTTCGATTGCATATGACTATAATTGATTATTAGACATGCCCTTGGGATATATGCACATTCCAATACCTCTGTAACATTTAATTAGATATAAATCTTTCTTATTTGCTGTTTGTATTGTCTTATGTTTTATAAAACATGAACAATAATTTGTTGTTTGACCCCTTGCGATTATATGGAAAAATTCTGGTAATAAAATGTTTGAAATGGTAAGGAAACTAATATGTTCCCAATCATACTGTTTGTAAATGCAGTGCCGCAATGACGGTTAATTTCTGAAAGGATTTGCAATTTCGATGTTACCAGAACTGACCGACATTTTCGTTACATTCCAAACCTGTCTCCAATATTTTCGTAATTATGCATCAATAGGGTCTAAGGGGATACAGGATGGTATGTATGTATTCATAAGGTATGTATGCATGCTTGAATCACATTCTTTATGCAATATTACCATGTTTTCGGGGTTGAATTAGTTCCGCTTGTTAGAACCTGCGGAACGATTAAATTAGCGGATCAAAGGCAAAATTAGGAGGTAAGACCTAGCCAGCACCAGGGCCATAAGACATGTCAGATAAGAAACGAGGCTCAGGCTAGGTCTTATGTTGTTGGACTAGACTAAATCTAGATGCATTATATATAAAATCGGATTATAGTGGAACTCCTTACTATCCGTGATTTGATTGGTCCTCAACTTTTTCAGCAGAATTGTAAAGAGTAACGAGAGAGTAAACTCATGGCGTTTTAGAAAAGCAAAATCCATGATTTCCCATTATGCTCAGTGTCTTATTTTAGTGAATCTAAAAATCTACACCAATAAATTGTTTTGGAGATAAAATGATAAATATTGCCTTGCAAAATATAAATTTATGTCATTCAATTATCATAGAGTGTATTTTATTTTTCCACATAGTATATCATTAGATTTTATCCTAAAAAACAAAAAATTCATTCAAATTATGTTACACTCAACAAAGTAATTGATGCTTACTTACTTGAAAGCTAAATATCCTGTGAGTTGTCATGTAAACTACCATTTATATGGATCTGTTTTTGCATGTGGCTTTACCTTAGCCTTATTAGGGTTGGTTATTGCCACATAGAAGGTAGAATGTACCCTGCATGCAGAGTTTAGTTATAAACTACCCTCTGCCTAGAATAGACTAATTACAGTTCAGTAGCCCTTCCCCCCACAACCTCACAGCCTATGCCCCTGACAGCCTGGGTCCTAGATCATTGCAAACCTACCACACTGATCCTCTCTCAAACAAGGAGCGAGCTGGAAGCAACACATGCTAAATATGTGCTCATTAACTATGCGATGACGTTAGAGGAAATTACCAAAGTGCATTAGAGTATAATGCAATTATATGAAATACTGTGTTCTGATTGGCTAGAATTAGAGACACCTTGCCAAGCTATATATGAATCACCCAAATAGATCGTTCCGTGTATCTAAGAGGTGACAAGGTTGATAAGAGTATCAATTGTTTTCAAAATATTATTGGTGACAATATAAGCTGCACTAGGACCCATAAATTGCCACTACAGTAACTAGAAATATAAGCCATAGGCTTACTGCGAAACATGTCAATTTAAACTAGGTTTCTAAGTCTGTCTCTGAAAAAGATGAGCTAAACAACATTGGTTGTTAGATTTTATTATTTTCTAGGGTAAAATCAAATTATTTACTTGATAAAAAGTCAGGTCACAATATTATGAATTGACAAGTATAGATTAATATTTTGAAAGGTAGGAGAAAGCTAAAATCACCAAAGAAATATTTATTAGTAGTGGTTTTGTGCATGGGAATGGGGGATGACTCTAAAACAAAAAAATATTGGAGTTAATTTTGGCTATTAGTCGAGATGAAGAGTGTCAAATAGCACAATGGCTTGTGACCTATTTACTAAACTCCATATACCTTTCCAATAAACTAAATATACCTTCCAATAAACCCTACCATCTTTTAGCCATTTACAATATCATTTTCATTCTTGCTTGCTACAACCTATATTGTATCATCATCAGGCCTGTCAACTGTCCCGCAATTTGCGTATTTGTCACGCATTTGCTGAAGAATTTGAAGTCACGCCAGTTTTTTTTGCGTGACAGAAAATGTCACGCAAATACGCATTTTAACTGGTAATTGTCACGCAAAAATATTTCTGTAGAAAACTTTTCGAAATATGTTTACGATACGGTAAAAATACGAACGTCGGAAAAAAACCGAACGCAATTTGTTCGGATTTGTCACGCGAATCCCGTATATGTCACGCATGTCCATTGGAAATTTTCGTACCTACCCCCCCCCCCCGTTGACGACATCGCGAGCGTAGCGAGCGCGAAAAATTTGAGGTGATCAAAGTTTGGCAAAGGTGCTCAAACTTTGGCCAAAGGTGTTTAAAAGTTGGCCAAAGGTGTTCAAAATTTGGACAAAAGTGTTCAGATTTGGACTTAGGTGTCCAACATTTTGAAGTCACTCATATTAGGTGGTCCCAAGTTGACAGCCCTGCATCATCCACCCTAATACATTGTTCTTTGTAGAATTTAGTATGAGGTGGCAGGGTGGGTTAGTAATATCAGTTTATTGGTGGCAATCTAAGCTGCCCAAGGACCCATAAATGCCACCTACAGAAACATGTAGACTATTAATCATCAATCTAGAAAGCATAATGTAATTAATTTGTCTCTCCTATACATAAGTTAACAATTATTTTGACAAGCGAAATGTCATTTGTTTGAGTTTTATATTTTCTAGGGTAAAATCCAAATATATAATTGATAGCAAGTTACACTACAATTATTAGAATTGGAATAATATTGATTGATATTTTGCAAAGCAAAAGAAAACAAAATAAATCACACAAAAAATGTATTTGTGGTTTGTGCTTAACATTAGAATGTCTCTAAAATAAATAATATTGGAGTTTGATTTGGTTAGTAGTGACAGTGTCAAAGGAATT